GCTGGCCTATGGGATGTGACCCTTTGTGATCTCTCCCTTCCTGATCAGCTTAAAGTATTTTGCTCCGCAGCTGGCATGCCGTGTCTCCCAAACAAGGTTGGCTTTGTGTGAACACGCAGCCTCTGTTGGGATGGCGCCAAAGTCTATGTTGGCAACGATGCACTGTCGCTGTGTGATCAACATCATAAGCCTCCTTCCATCACTCCTGGGTTCACTGCTCCTCACCACCAGCTACATTCAGGGATCACCAGGAGAAAAAGGTTTATTTATACATGGAGCATAACTCTGAATGTACATGTTGATGATTGCATTGTGCGAGGACGTTTACATTTCACAGAGGCGCGGGTGGGTGGAGGAGTGCAATATGTGCGGGAAGATATAAGTGCTGTGCTTCCTGAAAAGCGTCAGCCAGCCATGGACAGGCCTTCGAAAGGGAAGTGGGGAGTTGCAGACTTAAGGGGGGGGTGTAGAGGCCCCGGCCCCGTCCTATGTGGTCATGGCTGAATGCGGGCCAGGCCAGACCTCGTGGGGACGCACATGGCTGCAGGAGACGCTTTGCGCCTCGGAAGAGTGAGACGGGGTTAGAAGAGCAGCACACAGACGGGAGGAAAGAATGCAAAATGAGGGGAGGAATTATTGTTTCTGCACTCATGGCAAAGCCGAGTCCTCAGTGTTCACATTGAAACAGAATCTTGGCAGAAGTTGACCGTATAATCAGATCATTTTGAAATCAATCATTTAAAAGAAAGACTAAAGTTGTTAATCGGATTTGAAAAAGTTTGCTCATAAATAGGCAGAAGATCTAGTTTCCCTCTGGTGAGCGGACGGCAGATGTGATTCAGTGGAAAAACATATTTTAACTGTGGAGATTTCTAGTCTCGCCCAAGGAATCTATGACACAATCTCCAGATTCATGAAGAAAACCGCTGGTTGATCCAAAACTGAGGGGAGAACGAGATCTGTGCTTTTCTTCGGAATAACTTTTTCAGCTGTGAAAGCCACATTCTGACACTGTGTCCATGTGACGATCCCTGGGAGGAAAGACTGCACCGATGTTAAGAGGATGGGCAGATTAGCGGTGGCATCTGAAGCTCCGAAGAGGTTGTGCTTCCTCCCCGCTCTTCCTCCCACCACGTGTGTGTGGTCTCCTGCTGCTGGCCCCCTGCCGTTCTAGGGTTTAGAGGTCAATAGGTCAACACTGGGTACTGGAATGTTTATGTTAGCTGCTTCTGCTAACACCAATATCCATGCTGCCGCTTGCTTTTGCACCCGTAGGAATACCTCAGCTTTGCTTTGACGACACAAAAGGCAAAAAAAACAAAAACATTTGCTGGTTTGACTGTCCTAAAATTCTTAGAACGTTACTCAGAGCTCTCCGATTCCATACATTATCTCATGGGCGTTTCACTGTGGTTCCGGTGTGCCTCACTATATCACACTGTGCGTAGATCGGGTCAAAGATACGTGCATCAAACTATAGAAGAGAATGTCTGGACGCAATCCAGTTTTTGCATGTTCACTCACTACCATAAACACACATTTCCATGCACACACACACACGCACACACACACGCGCGCGCACAGACCCCCACCTTTGCAGAAATACACAACATAAATGGGTGTTTGTTTATGACCTATTAAAAAAGGAGAAAAGTACTGCAAACATAACATAAATACAAGCCAGAGTTGCTCAGGAATGGTGTGGATTTTTTTTTTTAGTTTGAGGGGAACACACTCACACGTTAATGCGTGTGAGTGTGTTTGGGAGGGAAAAGGGAGCAGAGCGAGGCAAAAGGGCGGTATATGGACAATTCTGTATTCTGTTTCTTTTCTCCCCCATCCCCCACTTTTTACTTCTCCTCCCTCCCTCCTCCACCAGCCCCCCCCCAGTCCCCTCCACCAGCAGGTTGCTTAATACTTTCCAGATTTCAGGAAGAGCTGCAAGTCTGCTGATGGAATTTGGCGGAAAAGGTTGTGGGTCCAGGCAGGGGCTTCTGACATAATAAACCCAAAGGCGATGAGCGCCTCCCATTGGTGGCTCGCAAAAAAAAAAGGAAAAAAAAAAAGTGATGTTGTGAACTGAGTTTGAAACCAAAGGGAAATGACATTTGACAGCCTCTGGAGCAGATGAAAAACTGCACCCAGTGGTGTTTGAGTGGGAGAAGCAGCTGCAAAGCAGACTCAAATTGCAAAGCGTTTCTATGGGGGAGCGGACCCTCCCCAACAAATCTGCCATCGCAGGTATCAAGTTCAAATGGGCGGGAAAGTTTAAACAGATGTGGTCACACCCGGCAACATTCCTGTAAATCATCCACATAACCTCCTTTGACAGTCTTGGTGAGCTGTTTCTTTTTTGCAACTGTTTTTCTGTAGACACTGAAATACGCGCTTGGCACTGAAAAATTTGGAGAAATTAATGACATGATATGATACGAACGAAGGAGATTAATTTCCAACCCCAGAGTCAAACCAGCCATGTCACAGACACACCCATCACCAGATGTGCGCCTCATAGAGCCACTAGGTGGCAGTAGATAACAAGGTTTAACTCAGTGAAGGATTGGCTGCCTGTTACTGGCCTGTACACCCAACAAGATAAATAATTCAGTTAAAAGTCGTGATAAAAAATAAAAAAAAAAGACTTTTGGTGACTAGTAAAGGTTTAGTCTGTAAGAGGGAAGACTAACAATATCTGAAAAGAATAACGATTTTATACAGGCAGGGAAAATTAGGATCAATAACCTCACTAGTTTGTAGCCTATTGACCACGCCAATCAATATAAACGGCCAGCTTTTACCACAAGTGTAAGAATAATGACTTGTTCTTGCCTTCTGGCGGATTGGATGCAGGTTTAAAGTGCCTGTGAAAAAACTGAGAGTGGAAGGAGATTAAAGATCCCCTGAAGTGGAGATGAAAGATCGAATTGAGAAAAAAAAAAAAAGACACCGTGGAAAAATGGATCAGTGTTTTTCAGCATGCAGCTTTGATACGGAGGGATGATGCAGGGAGGGACCTTGAACTGCTTGCGAGGAGTGTTACCAAAGCACAGTGCACTGAACTTTGACCGTCAGAGGTTCAGTGGCATGTGGTCAGTAAAATCAAAAGCCACAGATCTGTCCTCCAGTCAGCAGCGCCAGAAGAATTACCCGTCACCACTACTTATGAATAGGGATCCAAACAATCCAAACTTCACTTCCTCCACCAGCCACAGAATTTTGATTGAACAAATCGTCACAATGGCTTTAGTCCTTTAGGCACACTTGCAAAACTAGAAAACAAAACCTGGCCATGTATGTGTCATAATTTTAAGGATATCGGTTGAAAGAAATATGTTCTATACAGGAAGAGAGGGATGAAATGAATGAAGCATTTTTTTTCATTTATTCTAAAAGAAGAGCCTGACATTTAAATAACATTTGACATGGGTAGAATTTTACACGCTTTCAAAAGACATTGACTTTTACTTGAGGTAATTTAAAATGGTATGTTGGCACATTTCAGGCAAAATAAATGAAAAGCGTGTAAAGTGAGGAGAAAAATGTCATGTGTTAATATCTCTCAGGCAACGGTGACTCCACACTAAGACGCTTCATGTTTGTTTTTAAACTCTTTGAAGTCCAAGACATTTTACGTGTTTCTGGTCTCCTCACTGCTTATAATGCAAAATACTGCCAATTTCTAATTCACTCACTTTTTCTCTCCAGACAAACCCTGCTGCGTGGGAACACGTTTCCCCCTGCTATGAAATATATGTAAAATTGATGGAATCAAATGTGCACCTGCATTGAAAAGAAGGAGAAGTGAAAGCAAAAGACGTTTGGGTAATCCTCACAGCAACATTAGATTTGCTAGTAAAGTGTAATCTAGATAGTATGAAGTGCCGGAGCCTGTATCAGCCATGGTATCATCCAATTACATGCAAAGGTGTCCTACTACCTGTCGGCAGCTGGTTGGCAATTTATTCCTGTTTGATAAGGGAGCAAACAGCTGTTAATGGAGATTCCATTATGATGCCTTCAAGTTCTGTTCAGGGTATTAGCTTCTGGTAATAGTAAAGTATATAGGCTAATGTAGTACGTCAAAAAAAGGCATAGTGTAGTATGTAAAACAAAAAAGAATCATGGTATTGTTTGTAAAAAGTGAGAAGTAAGAGCATTGTATTGAAGAATAGTACACTATTTCAAAATGAAAAAATCTGTGTAGTATCGCAAAAAAATGTTTTGAGAAAACGTTACTTTTTTTAAAGTTAAAAAAGTCCAACTGTGTCCATGTTGAGGTGTCGCTATTACAGCGCTACACCAGAATGTCCATTCACCATACACTATGACTATCTAACATGCCTACTATTTACTTTCAACGTGCCATTAGGTCATACATTGCAAGTCTGCTCGTGAATTCACAATGAGTCTGTACAGCAACGATTCAGGGAAACTACATTTAGCTACTTGTTTAGCCCCCAAACAGCTAATGTTAGCATCATTTAGCTATAAACTAGCTAGCAACACACACAGCGAACACGTTTTATTCTGGTTTTCCAACAAAAGAACATACATGCAGATTCATTAAGGACATTATTAGCTGTTCCTCCTGAGGTACAAACATAATAACTTCTATTTGCTTTATTTAAAGGTTCATCCTTGTCTAGTTTGTGGCTGTTGACGTCGGTAAAGATTATGCTGAGCTGCTGCCTGGATGTTTGAAAAGCTTTAAACGCTTGCAGAAAAATGGAGGGCGGTTGGGTTTGAAAGGTATTTACTTGCATGTTGACTCATCTTTCTCTCTCTCACACAAACACATTTACTCGTGTCATCACAGCATTCTCAGTTTGTATAGTAAATACTTCCAACATCCAACCAGATCCCAATTACTTCCTTCCTTCCTCGTCTGACAGGAAACGGAGATGGCAGTGAAGGAATTCCTTTCTTCATGCCGCTGATTGAGAAGCACTTGTAATATATTCTCCTGAGACCATGCTGCATTATATATGAGGCAGTAAAGATGTCGAGGATTCCTTTTATTGAAAAATATAGGTTATTTTAGAGAATACAAAAAAAAAAGGTATAAGTAAAGAAGTACATTATATAAAAATGGATACAATTGATAACTTCCCAGTCGCACAAACCTTTAACACTAGAAATTACCTGAATACATCATGTAGTGTGAGAGATTGGAAATATAAATATCCAGTTATGCAAATGTTTTCATTTTAGAACACATCTTTATTTTTGCACATACAAGCTTAAACTTAGCCCTAAAACTTAAAAGGGATACAAAGAAGGAAGTGCCAAGCAGATTTGACTGACTCTCCCAAAAGTGAGCTCCATGAGTAGAATTATTTTGGCTTGAAGATTACAATTTTGGCACATCTGTCTGTTTCAGTTAAGGCAGCGAAATCAATCAGCGCAACTGCGCCTTAATACTTCTGGCCGCAGCTTTTAATGATGCAAGAAATACAGTCGAGCTGCAACGACAATGCAACTCGCATAAAAATAGCAACATTTTATTGAAGGCTATTGAATAGATTCCTTTTCATCCACTCTATGAACAGACGTAACATAAATATAACAAAGATTATTATTTTTTTTAAACATGAAAATGAACACGGTATTAACCACAAACTGCTTGTAGTGTCTGGCCTAAACGTTGCCTAATGATTTTGCACAATAAATCGCACCAAGCCCTGCCCACATAGTAGTGGAAAGCTCTTCATACATGACGGCGGCCCTTGAACTAACAAGGGTCAACATCTTTCACACTGTTCAGTTGCTCCGCTGCAGCTGCCTGGATGTACAAAAACAAGGAAGGAAGTGGTTATCAAAACCCTTTTCAGTTTCAACTTGATATGACAGATTGCAGTGTGGAAGGCACCACTTAAGTTATTGGAAATCTGAAACATCATCATCATCATCATGTCGCTGCAGGGTGAAAGAAACAAAACACCAATCTGTTCATTGGAAGAAAAAAAAAGGGACAAATCAACACAGTGTACAATTTCTCCCCTTTGGGTCACACGCCGCGCTTTACTCCTCCGGCTTCCTGTGGTAACACAATGCTTTCTAGTCAATGCGTCGTCATCAGTTTTAAAGTCCTGGTTTGCTCTAATCTACACTGAGCCTGTGTGAATGAAACACCGAAGACAAGTTGGTTTTGGGCTTTGCCGTCCAGCTTTACGGCTTGAAAAAGGGTCGACTTTGAGCAGCGTCACAAGGACCCCGAGTTGCAGAAGGGAGAAAACTGACAGATCAATGACACTGTACTATATTCATTTCAGATGAAAGGGGCTCGAGGCAGGCCTTCACACTCCAGTGACAAACACAGCCCCCTTCATTGTTACAAGATACCCAGCAGTAACGCTATGGTGATAAGAGGCCTTCTGTTCACTTAAAGCCTCATGATGTCCCGCGGCCAGTGAGGGGAAAGCACAGAAAGGAGACGAACCAAATCTAAAAAGCCATGTGACGAGTGAGAGGAAAGAGACACAAAGGGTGAACTGAGCTTTAGTTATGGAAAGTGTTTTTTCCTTAAAAAGTTTCCTAAAACGAGTGGCTGCTCTTCCCCGTCAGTTCCCTCAGCGTTCATGAGGGAAAGGCTCTCTGACAGATGGAGTCTGGGCTCTCCCACAAGGAGCATTCACTCGTTCCTCGCAGACCTACAAAGAAAGCGTCCTCCATCTTTTCCACAGTCCCGTTACCCACACAGTACCCGACCGCAGCGCGCCGGGAAAGGACTCGCCGGTTTCAAATCAACCCCTTTCCGAGACTCATACGCGGATCTCGTCGTCCTCATCCTCCAGGAAGGAGGAGAAGTTGCTCTCCTCCTCTGGCGGGGCACTGAAGGTGGCGCTGTCCGTGTCTCCTGCGTAGTTCTGGCCGTTTGGCTTCTCGTCCAGGGCAGCGGAGCCGGAGCTGGACATGGAGCAGCTGTCCAGATGCTGCAGGTGTCTGGGCCGAGTCTCGGGCGTGTACGGGCCGACGTCCGGGGGCCCCGGGTCCACGGCTCCGGCTGGATCCAGAGAGGTGCCGTGCTGCAGGTCTGCAGAGTCCTCTTCTTCCTCAGTCTCCCCGTCCTTTCTCCCCTCCACGCTATCCTCTTCCTCGCCGCGGGTGCTGAGAGGCGGCGAGGCGCGGCCCTCGCTGCTCTTGCCCTCCTCGTAGCCGAGGTCGTCGTCCTCCTTTTCCATCACGCCCAGGATGTCACCCAGCATGGAGGGCCCCAGGTCCACGTGGAACGACATGACCGACTCGGCGTGCTTCATCCCGCCGCCGTAGTGGCGGTGGGGGCTCTCCGGGAGCTCGGTTAGCTCGCCGAAGCGCATCTCCTCCAGCTCCAGGTGGCGGGCGGCCGCGCCGTTCCCGTCCGCCTCCCCATGCTGCTTCAAGGGACTTGAGGACAGACTCTTCGCCACGGCGCTGTCCGCCCTGACGTCATCGTTGAGGAAGGGGAGTGACATGGCGTTCTTCACGTAGGTGGGCGACCCGGCGGGAGTCATCTGCTCGTCCACTCGGTTCACTGACTGGGAGCGCTTGCTGCTCCGGAAGGTGCGGGACAGGAGGCCGGGCCGAGGGGAGCGCGGGTAGAAGTTGTTTTCGGGCGGGGGTTCCCCCGAGCGCGTGCTGAGGAAGGAGGTGTCGCCGAACGCGTCGCCGCTGCGGCCCACGTGCATGGTGTGGCGAAAGTCGCCCAGCGGGGCACTGATCATCTCCCTGGTCAGGTCCAAGCGCGAGCGGCGCTTGCTGTGGGAGGAGCCAGACACCAGCTGTTTTAGGATCGGCATGGTGGCGGTTGGCACTGAGAAGTCTTGAATAAATTCCTTAAGACGACCGTGGAATGATTTGAGGTGCTTCAACAACAGTCAGCCGGGGAACCTGGGAAATGAAATGGAATACAATGAGTGACACTGAATTTAAATACAAATAAATATCATACTTTTGACAATTTTTAAATAATGCATTCACATTTGGCTTCTTAATTCCATCACGTAAGAAACATAATGGGTCATTAGAAGCTTCCAATTACGCAGCTCCGTCATTGAATGAAGAATGGAGGAGGGATCTTCTGGCGCAAAGCTCCACTTTGACGACACAGCATATGGTGCACGAGCAGGGGCTTATATTTCTAGTCAATGACAACGTACATTTTAGAAGAGCAATAACACTCTTCTCCACTGAGCGTGCTAGTCAACAGTCACCTAAAACGTACGTGGAAATATGATCAGAGACAAGTCCCCTGCCATCTCCTCCTCCTCCTCCTCCTCCTCAGATAACCGTGTTTAAGCCCCCAGAGGCTTGTGACTGACAGCTGAGCGAAAACGGTGTTTCTACATTATTTAAACATGCAGCCCAAACAGCGGAAACCTCACCACAGGCTGACAGCTCGTCGGCTGCTGCACTGGAGGACGGGAGGCAGGACGTCTCATTAGCGAGACGTGGCAGCGTGTAACGTACACATAACAAGAACACGGTCACGGTGGTCTGCAAGAATGAACTGTACAAGCAGTTTTTCGGCAGACAGACATCGGAAACGTCTGCGCCCCGGACTCGTGGGTGGAGTTTCTACAATCACACTTAAAACAGGCCGGCAGAAAGAGGCACGCTTGCATTGAGCCCCTCGCTTCAGGATTTCTTTCTGGCACGACTGGAAGATACTCTTACGTCAAAGTTGCTTTCGGCAAAAAGCGCCAGATTTAAACTGTAAAAAATATTTTTTTTCTTCTTAAATGCTGCTTTCTTCCTTTAGGACATTGACCTCGTTCTTCTGTCTCCACCCGCCCGTGGCTGAGCCTCTCGTCTTCTTCCTGTTGATGCCCTCACCTGCTTTTGTTACCATGGGAACAACCTCCTGCGAGCGAGCGAGCGAGCAGAAGCGTTTCCTGTCGGGCTCTTGAAGGCTTCAGGCTCAAACAAGCATAGAGCACAAGGCCTCCTTCTGTCTCTGCAATGTTTTCAATCATTCACTCCATCCACGTAGTGTATATTTGAATTGGTAAAGATGGAGGGGGGGGGAAATACATAAATGTTCCGGGGCTGCAGGCGAGAGACGCAAGGCTGAAGAATCTTTTGCTGAGGCTTGAACGTGATCGGAAAACTTTCCATGAACTCCAAACGCTTTTGTGCCAAAACACACAAACCACAAACAGAAAACATGCTCAGATTTGTTTTTGTTTTTTTTGGGGAGGGGCGGGGGGGAATAATTCACACCCCACCAGAAACGTTTTTTCTGACTAGTTGCTTCTGGGTGGCATAATCAGGCGAAGAAAAACAACCAGCGGATGAAGGAGGGGGTGGGGAACTCTGAAAGCCCGCCTCCCACCCCTACATCTACCCCCACCCCCCCAGGCCGGGATAAGGCTGAATCTCAACCAGATCCAAAAGGGGCCTTTAGCGCTTTATTCACTTCAATCTACTGATCCACAGCCCTGCTGTGTTCATAGCGTTGCCGTGTTTTTTGGTGCTCAGTGGGTACATGTGATTTTTTTTTTAAAGAGAAAAAGAAAGGAAAAAGGGCCTGAGAAGGCAGCAGTTAGTGTGGGAACTGCAGGGTCACAGCGGGGGGATTGACTTTATAAACAGACTTTCACAACACTCAAGGTCTGGCGGCAGTCGGGAACCAATGGGAAGCCGGAACGTGGGACAGAAACCGGGACGAACATCTGCCTCATTTCATATTGACAGCGAAATTGGAAACTCTTTCTACACACACACACACACACACACGCACGCACGCACGCACGCACGCACGCACGCACGCACGCACGCACGCACGCACGCACGCACGCACGCACGCACGCACGCACGCACGCACGCACGCACGCCTGTTGAATGACATGGTTTTGAAGTGGATGTGGTATTACTCTACTGCCGAGTGAAGCGCAGCACTGGATGTCTGCGTCCACAGACTCTTCGCCAATGCTGCTTCACTCCCTTAAGCTTGGGGCTAAATGAGATTCCAACCCATTTCACCCCAAACATGGATTTACGTCACGGGAAATGTCGAGTTAGCTCAGTTTATTTATATCACATAATTCAATTATCAATATAAATACCAAGCCTGGATTGAAGGAGGCTTCTAAAACTGCTCATCATGCAGTTAGAGGTAATACACACGGCTTATTCTGATAGAGAAGGAATTTGGGAATTTGCTCTTCCAATAAAAAGGGGTTACAAAGCAGAACTAAAAACAGTATATTCACAGAGGAGAAGGATTTTGGATCTCAACAGGAATGCTATAGTCTTTTGTAACAACTGTTCGGAGATGCTATATTGCAGGAAGTGAGGAGAAAAAAAAAAGTCACCCATATTGTACAGCTCACGTGTGACACAAAACTGGAAAAATATGAGTCAGTGAGAGTTTTCACCTATTGTCAGTTCTCTCACATTAGGGAAGTCAACACTAAACAGATCACACACACACACACACACACACACACACACACACACACACACACACACACACACACACACACACACACACACACACACACACACACACACACTGTGACTAAAGGAGCATTTCCCATGATTGAGCATTGAACTTTATCAGTGCACTGTGTACTTTACTGTCTGGGAGAGGGGCTGCGTTTTTCAGTGTGCCTCTTAGAAGTCACTGACCTGGATGGACAACGCATGATCTCGGGTGAAATGAAGCGAAGGGGGGGGGGGGATTTTCTCCGTTCTGCTGGCATCTCACAACGCTCCGCCTGTATAATCACTCTGAAAATGAAACCATTTTTTGGGGAGATCTCTCGTTAGTCCATATGTGTAAAAGCAAAAAGTATTGTTCGGTGTCGGGATAGCGCACACACACACGCACACACGTTCCAGTGATCAAGCAGACAAATGGCCTCTCGAAGATCAGTATCTGCCACACAGCTCGGTTAGTGCGGCTGAATGTCTCGTTTAGGAGGGAGCAGCCCAAGGACAAACAGTGGAAATCACATTATCTCTCAATCGTAGAGACAACAGACAACAGCGGATACAAACTGATGCTGCCCTTTGAGCAATGAGAGGAAACGCACTGCTCCAAGGAGTAATGACAAAGCCCCCCTCCCTGCTTGTAGAAGACCCACATTTGCCCGCGATTGACCCAGACTACAGCGCTCGGTCCAAGCCGCGTGCCATTTGCGCGTGGTGTAATTCAAATTGTGAATCCTCCGAATTGTTGGAAAGGCCGGGGAAGCGAGCAAAACAGCAAAACAGACAGAAATGAAATATTTGAAGAGTTTATAGGCGGTTGGAGGTGTATCTTTTGGCTCTGGAATGATGTGTAGGACAGCCTTAATTATTTGACAGTACAACTCAAGAGAATAATCACTGACAGACAATAGATAATAAGTATCAATAAGATACGCCCTACATAGAAATGCAATTAGATCAGGAGAGAGCCTTCCTTAAATCATAAGAACTCAAACACCGTGATACTAATACAGTTCCTCCAAATAGAAAATAAATGATGCCTTTGAGACCAGAAAGGAGAAGATTTAAAAAATAAAAAAATAAATTTGGCCTGGGTGCATTTCTCAGTTGCAGAAAGGAGAGAAATGTTTCTCCCGTCACTCATACCTGGCACGCTAGTGAGACGTCGTCTGTTCTGCTAGTGTCACACCTCACCCAGCAGGACATTCTGCTCGCTGGGGATCAAAGCACAACAGACTTTTAGAGCTTCCCTTTTTAGAGCGCCTGCAGAGCTTTGGAATTTGCATTCATATCAATGAGGACTGAATCGGTAGCTATCCTTTGATCAGCCGGTGGAACATTTGAGCTGGAAGAACCAACAGCGTTTAAAAATAACATCTAGTTTACTGGTGCATGATTAGAAGTTAACTATTAATCCATATAAACAACATTTAGCTGCATTGTCCACAGGCAAACTTTACATTTCTAAATCGTACCCTTTTCCCAATCAAATGGTAGAAGGTGTGTCATTAAACGCAGTAAATCACATGATCAGGGAGCAACTGCTGGTATGTTGTAGCGCAGCATTCAGTCACCGACGCACCGAACCGTCACCGGAATCAGTTAATAAGTAAGCAGCGAATATGTAACAGGGTTACTTATTTCATTTTTGTACATCTTACTTATTCAGTGGCTCTTTTAAACCATAGCTGGGGATTGTTGGAACTCGGAAAAGACACTACATTTAGTTTTTACTTTTATTTTGTTTGTCGAGGTTGAATTAAGTGTTTTAGGACGATCAATAAAGTAAAATGAAAGTTATCCGACTGGTCTGGTGCCTTTGAGGAAAGCAGGTCAATTGAACGTTCCGTAGGATACCTGTCCAAATCTTAGATTTGTTTTTCATTAAATATAGAGTTCAACGAGCATCACACCTGAAAAGTGTCATAAATCCCGCAGGTGTCACGTTACCAGCAGTACCGACCTGGAGGCGACGGATCACTGTGACTGCTGCAGTTTTTGGCCCTGCAATGAATGTTGATCGTAAACATTCCCACTGAAGGCAAAAGCCAGATGTTCATGAGGTTTTTTTTTTAGTCCATAGGAAAAGCAGGTTTAGTTACACAGGCCTGTCCGATGAGCAAGAGGAGGAGGAGGAGGGAAAGATGATCGGCAGACGATGAACAGAAATGCTTTCAAATGAGCTGCGAGTCAGGGAAAGGGCCGGGAGCGAGTCACCTCGACGGGGTACCAGCCGACCTATGAAACACGAGCGGAGATGACTCGTCTCCTCTTCCCTCACAGCCTCCAGACAACACACCCCGCCTCCTTCTACCTGTCCTCGTCTCTGGTGGGACAGACACAAAGAGCGGCTCGCGGAACTCCACTTCAACGCATTGGAGGATGACGACTTCCTGCGCATCCTTTTCACACACAAACGTTGACTATACGTGACAGACAACCTTAACGTAGAAATTCCACCCACTCCTCCTCACAGGCACAGCTTAGCTACACACGATGGGCGTGTTTCGCAGAGAATTTGTTAGCGTGTTAAGGGCTTTGTCCACAGGAAGGGCAGGGGAAAAAATGAGGCAGTAAACCCTCCCATCGCTCCGGAAATCTACTCAGTCTGCCCTTCCTGAACACTAAAATTAATATAAACAGGGCCCCCATGTCTTCCCTCATTCTGAATTACTGATGGGCTAACCAAACAAACACAGCTCATATCTCCATCAGCCAATAGTTGTAATATCCAACAGAGTTGGGGGCCCGTGCAGGGACTGTGTGTTCAACAACATGGAGATCAGCTCGGCCTCAGGTGTCCTGATCGCCACCGAGGGGAAGACAGACCGACCAAGGCGTCTCTGCAGAGGTGCCAGGTTACATTTTGTTAACACTCAAGTGGAAATAATGCAGGAAAAGTATTGCTTTATATACGAGTGCCATAGTTACGAGAGTCAAAACCACGGCAAAAATGTTTTTGCATAAGCTGAGGAGAAGCCAAAGAAGAAGAGAGGGCTGTTATTGTGAACGATTATATTCTAGAAAATCCAATACATTACACTTGACCTGTGCATGAACGCAGCCTCGTGTTTTAAGTCGATAGGTGTAATGTGCACAGGTTATCTCCCAAACTCTGACGTCAGGCAGGCAGAAGGAAAACTGAAATGTACTGTCAACAAATACCAGTCTTCTTGTTAGCCATCAAAACATTTGTGCAGCGTCATTGTCTGCTGCTAGAATGATTTCAACAGCACTCATTACAACAAGGAAATGCGAAAGAGAAAAAACATTTCCTCCGACTCGTACCAACAGTAAGCGGTGCAAAGCATGCTGGAGGAGATCAGCAAACAATGCCGCCAAACAAAAGACAACGGGAACAAACACTGCATTCACACACAATGAAATATGAGACGCCCTTTAGAATTTGATGTTAGGACAACACGTTTATAAAAAAAAGGTAGGTGACTGTTGCTTTCCCATGAATTGTGTACTGAGACGAGGAACGCATTTAAATACTTGCAAATGTCCCACTGCCTTCAAAAGTACTGTGAGGTCCTCTAGTAATGCAGCAGTGTGTGATATCCCCATGCAACGAAGCCTTCCAGGGGGGGAAAAGTAACAGTTTATATTGGTATTTCCTGGAATGTGAAGGGGCTGAACAGGACACACACGTTGCAACAAATGAGCAAACATGTTCAAACAAAGGTGACGGACCCTTCGCTCGCTGGCCACAACTAACACAGCGTTGCAACGTTGCTCCCACCGCAGGAGGATCTCGTGATGCCGCCAACAAAATATTAAGGTTGTGTTTCCCGCAAAATGTAATTTATGCCACGTCCGGTGAGCGGGTGGTTGGCGCGGGGTTACACGGGCGCAATGGGGGGGAAGGACAACTTTCACCTTCAGGCAGCCAACACATGCGTCCTGCAGGCAGTTAGATGATTGGTAATTTGAGAAATAGAAGAGTAAGAGCAGAACCTGCGCGGGCTGGTTTGAGTGCGTCGCCTGGGCTTGAAACGCCTTTCTGGGGAAAAGAACAAGCAGGCTAAACCTGTGACACATAAATCTTCAGCAATGAGGCTCTACTGTTTGCAGTGTCGTCAACCTAAACCAACCACAGCCGCTTGCGCCGAACAATTCGACGTCTCACAAAAGCTTTGTGTGGGATTTGGATGGGACGGGTTAATTGTCAAAGTTAAACCTGTGAAAACAAAAGAAATCCGGCCAATTTGATTCCGTATCAGATAACATTCTCCCCTCAAACAATTGGTGAGGAGTTCTTATCAGTCGGTGAAGTAGTCACGGCCTAAATACCTCATGCAGAGCACATTATTGTGGCCGGCATTGAGCTTATCAGATGCCATCAAGACACCCTGGTGAAGGACAGAAGGTAAAGAACTGGGGACAAAAGGGGACAGATTGCAGGTGCCACTGGTCCCTCAGAGCCAAAATACAGTCGGTGTGTCCCGATTTAGCTCACAGTCCAAATTCACACAGATGTTTCAAAGTATTAATCTGATCTTATTGATCTTATTGGCCTACTTTAGATTGTTTCAGGGCTGAACATGTGTGCGTGGCCTGTTAAGAGTTCTCCTTGGGTGAAAGGGGTACAAAGTACAAATAATAAATCATTCATTTTCTCTGCAAAGCAACTGGAGCTTATGAAGATATTAATTGCTGCACACTAACTCAGTTCTCCACAACGCGCATGTTCGTAGCCACTGGACCACGTCCGCGTACTAGTGACCATTTGCATGCACTCTTCATGCATTCATCAGTCCAGTCAGTCAGCCAGTCATTCATTCATTCGCGTTAGGACCAGGCTGTGACTCTGGGGTGGCTCACAGGAGAACAATGAGCAGCTGACCACAGACGCGTCAGCTGGCCGGGCGCACGCGCCGCTAAATGAAGCAGACCTGCTAAGAGCCAACGATGCGTTATTAGACACAAAGGGAACGTCGCGGGTCGGTGGGGGGTTGAAGGACAAGCAAACACGGAAGCGCACGCACTTACCGAGCATCCCCATTCATTGGGCCGGGTGGTGTTTCAGTAGTAGGCCCCCAGCAGGTAGACAACGGGGGTCGGATTCATCTAAAAAACAACAGCAACCGAGGCGATGAGATCGATCTCCCGGGAAATCCAGTCGGAGCACGCGGACAGCTCTTTCTCTTCTTTGTATTCCCTGCATATAAATGTTGTCGGCGCATCCACAGAGGCGGTGCCGCTGCTCGCGGGTGCAATAACTCAGCAGAATGCCTCCTGCCGCCCGGGTGGTGTGTTTGAACACGCCCTCTTTGCGTGGCTCCTTAAAGACACAGGCCGCCAGCATGGGGCCCCCCGCAGAGGCCCCGCCTCGTTTCCCCAAACAGCTAGAGGCGGGGCCTGCGCGTCATGAACACTAATGACACATTATTCAAACACAAGAGAGATACAAAAACAAAACAACTGAGATAAAACCGTGAATCCATCTTTGAATGTATTCTGTATTTAAGGAGTTATTTAAATTGCAAATAGCAGTTTCAAACAAAGTACTATGTTTTAAGTTTTTGTGATATCAGAGACGACTTGGCACTGGAGAATCGCATCGTCATCCTCTGTGGGAGCACAAAGGAAGTAAGAGGATGTTTCTGAGAGAGCGCATGCAGTGCGAGGGAAGCCTACACAATTTACATGGATTTTTCTTAGTGGAATACACAAGTTAACACAGCTAATGAGGAAACCAGACCGCATTGCAAATTGTGGGTCGATTAGAATAAAGCCCACCAGGGTGTCGTACGGGAATTAGAGGAAAAAGGCATGTGGTTTAAAACTTTTCAGTTCGAGGAGACCAGTTGAAAAATGTTGATGCGTTTCTCACGTTCTTCGACCACTGAAGGCCTTTTTTTCAACGACCTTTGTTTGACCGTGTGTATTCCAGGCTCAGCCGCTCATTAGTGCCTTTTGCGATGGAAATGAGTGGGAAGCAGCCGAAGTACGCACGCGCACCCTGAGCTCAAGAGAAAGGAATGTGTGAACGGTTGATAATTATCACATGTCCCGTCCCTCCACTACCTGGGCAGGAAGACTTTTGTCTTTGAGTTAAGTGTTAGTCTCTCCATACTGCTCTTGAATGCATGCAGGGTGTCCGTCACACACATTCAGAAGCTATTTCCTGCCTTTGGCTTTGTTCCCAGTCCAGCTGATGGGAGACTAAGATCCTGCATGATGAGAATTTGACTTTAGTGACCTTTTGTCCAGAAACAAATTGCATTTAAATTTGTATAAGTTGCTTTTTTTGTAACATACCCCAACAAGCCCCAAAAGTATTAATCGTGTCTGACACATAACTTACAATATAACTTCACTTTAGATTAATATTAAATGTACAGGATGTTTCCCTGCAAGATCTCTCTCTCTCTCTCTCTCTCTCTCTCTCTCTCTCTATCTCTCTCTTTCTCTCCTTTTCGCTCTCTCTTTTTTACAAACCAATTAAAATCTGGCTTAGACAGGAAATCAGACAATGCACCTCGAATAACAAGATTACGGGCAAAACCTGCATTTACACGCCGCTGGTCTGTCAGCACATTTTTCTCCCGGCCATTATCCCGGAGAGTGAACACACCCTCTTTCATGCATCCAAGTGCTTGTTTTCTTCTTTAATGCAATAAAGCCAAACTCACATAGAATGAAGCTAAGAGGAGCAGAAATCCAGGCTTTTTAGATCTACGTGCTGCTGCTGCAACAGTACTGCGACAGTTTCCTGTTGTTGCAGCTATGTCCGTTGCATTGATGGCTCTGTCCGCTATGCTCAGTGGTCCAGCAGAGGAGAGGAGAGTGTTTGTGCAGCGGAGTCTCAACTTTTGCTTCACTAAGTGCAAACTATGCTTTTGAAGTTTTCAACAAAAAAATCCATTCTCAGTTGAGGTACTTTAGACATTCAGGAAAGTCTTTAATTATCTGGCTTTTGATGTTGAATTGTCTGAATGGGAGCACTTAAACCTTTTACAGCACCAGCAGCCTGGTGTCGTATAGTTCTTAACCCTACGAACTATGAGAGAAAGAGAAAACCCTTAAGTAAAGAACATCGACAAGTCAAGGACGTTCAGTAGGCTCTTCGAATTGTTCTTCTTCATCCGATTTGATTGTTCCAATACTGAAGTATTGTCACAACGACACCGCCGGAATTAAAACTAAGTGGTGAATAAGAGCGGTGGGAGAATTATACTCAAATCCTTCCGGTTTGCTTTCATGAATGACAAAAAAAAACAAGAATCCCAAATCCAAGGCCCAGGCGATCTGAGGTAACACAACAGTCTTTCTTTGTTGCCGATACTATTTTGAGTCCTTATGCACAAATACCGTGACAACGTTCTAGTCAGGCCAAGATGAGTGGAACCAGCATACACACACTTCAGGAGAGGCCAGCGGTGAAAGCTATTAGCGAGCTGAGCTTGACAAATGGATTATGATGCAAAATCTCCAATTTATTCACTCTCCTGACTGCCAAGACGAAGCCTGCATCGGCTGCATACTGATGGGTATTAGACTCGTGAGTATAATAACGAAACTCCAGATGAAGTTGTAAACTTTTAAAAAGCAGTAAAGTCCAATTTCCTTCTCTATCGTACATCATGATTCTGTCCCCGTTTTGGAGCCGCCAGTCAGGCTGAGTTAGCTGTGTAGCAAATGTGCTCTGATGCACTCAAAGGAGCGCAGTCAGAATAAGGACGTATTCTGTAGAAGTCGGTCCCACGAGGAGATACTGAACTGAAACGTGAAAATGTAACAGATTTGTTGATGTGAAACGGCGTCTGTGCATGTGTGTGTGTGTGAACAGAGGATTGAATTGAGTGAGAATAGACAATAGTCAAGACAGCGTTAAGCGGGAAGAACTACCATTATTTTATGTTTCAAAGTAGAATTATTCAAAATGTTACAAAGCGTTATATTTCATTTTTCCGAGCTGAGCTCTTGTTTTGTTCAAGAAACAAGCGAGACTTTGTGAGATTTGATATGATTAATCCTCCTCAACAGTGGCTCTGAAATGGGGGTACGTGTGCCCCCGAGGGAACGTGGAGGCACTCCAGCGGGTACGTGAGATTTAAAAAAATAAAAGTGGTAGAATTAGCATCCATTCAAAAAACCCAGACGGATTGACAGAAAGTGATTATTCAGTACACTATTCAATTTCATTATCCTAAAAAACCCAGTCTCCCCCAAACCAGGATGCTTTGACCCAACCTGGCACACGCCCCCTGTCATCACCCGTCAATCACTGCTGACCTGAAAGCTCACACTGAGCAGCCGTGGTTGAAGCGTAGCGGCGCTGCTGCTGAAAACACGAGGTCCACGAAGGGGAAACCCCCCCAAAGTTGTTGTTTCAGCGTCGACAGTTTAAGAAATGAGACGCTGATGGTTGTGTATTACATCTCTCTTTCAACCCCGAAATGCTTTGCACCGCTGAGGGGCTACTTGGCTGAAAGAAATGACATGACCCTTCGCTCCCCCCGTCACGTAGCGAGAGCAGCCAATAGATTTAGGTAAACTTGAGTTACTCTACACCTTTAGGTAAAGCGAAAATGCAGATGGCTCTCCTGGAGCCGTTGATTGTTTGTCCGCTTTGTGCTGCTACTTTTACAAATCTATAAATCTGTAAACATTTTTGTGAACGTGAAAATAAAATTGCCCTCCATGCCAAACAAACTGCACCCCTTGACTCGTCTTCCCTTAAACCGCCCCAGCCTGATCCCTGTGCCCCCCCCCCCCCCCCTGCCGGGCTTAAGATCAATGTTTTTCCGGCCTGAAATAAGGAGATTACCCGGGCTCACTCTCCCACACTCCCCCAGCTTTGTAGCATGCTTGCACCAGATCAGGTTCTTCTTCAAATTCTTTCGCGTATCTCCTGCTCTTGTGCATCCCAAGTACATCTCTGCTGCGTCATTCTGGCACCGTACGATCGATTTCCATCGATAATCATATCCTGAAAACAGGTCTACTTAGAACCGTCTGTGCAGAACAGTCTTTCTGCAGGTTCTGATGTGGTTTGTATTTCCTTAAATATAATTAGTTTGCACCACTCTTTCATATGTCTGAACTACGAGTCACCTGTCTTATTCGCCAATTTATATTAATCTGTATTATATTCTAAAATATGCATATGAAGCATGAAGAAAAAGCCAGTACAAAATAAAATATTTATTGTAGAGAGCCACCATGAATAGGTCCATAATATTTTCCTCATGATCTATACAGTGATGTTCACATTGGAAATTTGACAGATGATAATTTGGAGTAACTGTCTAATTTTATACACTATGGGTCCAACTCCAGCACAGCAATGTCCGATTCAACCTCTGTAAAGAACCAGCATATTCAAAAAGACTTGTAGAAAACATCTATCGTTACATATGCGTGCGTTTCTGTGGTGAGCATGAAACACATTTTCATTCATATCAAACACGTGACGATTGATGATGTATTTCATGTACAATACTTGTGTCCTGTTGCTGTCAATCATTGAATAAAGTTTATTAAATAAACAGACACAGCACGAGGCCGACTTCTCCACAGCCTCATGAACAAATACATAATATCAGCTTATTTTGAATGTTTCATTTTTGTAAGATTCACCTCGTCTTATTTTTTGTTTTCTTATAACGCATTCTTTAAAAAAAGCATCAAACATGAATGTTTTCCAGTTTGTTCACTGTTATTAACGTCCCAAAAGATAGTTCCTCTTGTTGTTCTCATATAGCACTTTGCTATGTGGTTGTGATGGGATAGAATCATTTGAACCACAAGAGGATTTGTGCTTTTGGTCCTCAGTCATGTTCTGTAATGACAAATCAGAAAATGGGTGCACATTTTAAAATGTGGTCTTTGTTTGCACAGCTACTGACATGAGCACCAGCGCACAATCAACACATCCCCATCACTACGGTGAAGGTGCCACAATGCTGTAATGTGATTAATAACACAGCCACTAGTGATTTTCTGAAAGGTTTAGCTTGAAGCCGACTGATATAAATATCTGGTAAACAATATGAGACAAGTACATATAGTAAACACATAATGCAGTATCAACAACGTTTGGGCAGAGTAAGAAGGTCGAATGCAGTCCAGGGCCACAGTGACCACAAGCGCCAAAGTCTATTTCTCACCATCAGTTCGTTCTCTGTCCAAAAATCACATCATTCCAGAGTTGTTTTTTCCATCATTTAGTCCCAGCAAGCCAAGTGGTCCATACTCTATAGTCTAAATGTTCTACGGTGGTGTTTCTTTTCTCATAAAGCTCTCATATTAAACAATAATA